TCAATAGGCGCCACAACCTCTCTTCTGAAAGTCAAGGCAAACAGTGTTTCTTGTGTGGCTATCCTAGTTGTGGTTCTGTAAGCCCAAAATACCTCGGGGAACTGCTCCACCTATTTCCCTTTTAGGGCATCCAGCTTAGTCTTCAAGGCTGCCTTTATGGTTCGAATGGTGACTTCTGTTTGCCCATTGAACTGAGGATGAACGGGAGCCAAAAATTAATTTTTTATCCCTAGCTCAACACAAAATTTTTTGAATTTTGGGTTATAGAACTGTCTTCCATTGTTAGAGATGATTGCTCTCGAAATTCGAAACCTGTATATTATGGATTTTCACGCGAAGTTCTGCACTTTCTGCTCTGTGATTGTTGCCAATGGTTCCACCTCTGCCCATTTTGTGAAGTAATCTACCCCAACAATGACGAACTTGCACTGACTCACACTTACTGTAAGGGGCCCCAGAATATCTAAGCCCCATTTCTAGAATGGCCAAGGGCTTAGTACTGTTGTTAGGAGCTCTGATGGGCAATAAGAGATGTTGGCATGCAACTAGCAAACCCTACATTTCCTAACCATGTCTGTGGCATCTTTGAGCATAGTGGGCCAGTAGCATCCTTGTCTCAAAATATTTTCTACCAGAGCCCGGGCTTCGATATGGTTGCCTCATACTCCTGCATGAACTTCTCTTAGTATATAGTTAACGTCCTCATCTCCCACACATTTGAGGAGAGGTGTTGAAAAACCTCATTTGTACAGACCTCCCTGCAAGATGGAGAATCTAGCTAACTTCACCCTTAGCTTTGCTGCCTCATTAGGGTCTGTTGGAAGAGTTCCATTCTGCAGGTAGTTCCTGATGGGGTCCATCCAACCTGGTAAGTTCAGGACCGGGAACACTTCTTCCTAAATTCCTACTGATGGTTCTGCTAAGTGCTCCACTGGAATCAACCTTCCCAAGTTCTCCTGAGAAGCAGTTGCTAACCTTGCTCGCGCGTCTGCTCGTGAATTCTCTAACCTAGGGACGTGTCTGATCTTGACTTGCACAAATTTCTTGATTAGCTCCTGTACTCTTTTAGGTGAATGAGCAAAACGTATGAACCATGGAAATCAGTGTTAAACTGAGCTACAAGGCTCGTGAATATTGTGGAAAAATTCTTAAGGAATTGGGCTAATTTACGCAATGAAATTATAGTGGTTCACCCGCTTGGGAGCTCGGCTAATCCACTCTTTAATAGAGGCTCTTGCTCCTTGGATCTGTATTGATCGCCTTAACGAATTTCAGTAGTGTTCCAATACAATTAGGGTTGCTCTCCCTTCAATGAAGGCACTGTTCTGTATTTATAGTCTAATTCCTATTCCTAAGGGATCTGCACCAAGATCCTTGCCCTTCATTTGAGGGATTGTCTTTGATTCTAGGTGAGGAACTTCAGCTAATTGAGAGNCCCCCTACCCCCTTGCTTCAAAGGATCCTTCAGATCTCCTTGAAGCAAGCGAGTTTGGAATAGCTTGTTAGCTGAATATATGCCTAGCTTGAGGTCTTACGCATGAGGGTTTGGTCTTTCTTGATGTAGACTCACCTAGAGCGCTACAGGCTTGGAAACCTATCAAGAGGCTTTACCCATGGAGACCTCCATTCTAATGTCTGGTGTTTTTAGGGGGTTAATGGATGGCAAAATTGACCTCCCTCATAGTGACAAGAGGTCTGCTGGATTGAGTTCTCTGTTTTGGTGAACAGTGTCGACTCTCAAGAATTCTTTAGAGTCATCAAGAGGATTAGTTTCCACGTTCCCCTCCTGCAGAGTTGGAATCTCCTATAGTGGCCACTGAGCCCCGAGTACCACAAAGGCTCATAGAGGTACTGCCTTTCAATAGCTCTTGCCCCAAGCTCAAACTAGCATAGGGTTGTGTAACTATGCTCAGAGGTCTTTCTAATACGACCTAGGATCCCAAGACTTAACAAAATTGTAAGGATAGAGTTGGGGGCTCCTTGTTTTTTGTGCCCAACGAACTACCAAAAAAGTAACTGCCTCCTTAATTTAGAAACTCAAGGGTCCACCGACTTAGCCTTTCATGCATTCCTCGATTCCCTAAAATCTGTTGTCTTTATNAACTACCAAAAAAGTAACTGCCTCCTTAATTTAGAAACTCAAGGGTCCACCGACTTAGCCTTTCATGCATTCCTCGATTCCCTAAAATCTGTTGTCTTTATGGGGTTTCCATAACTTCTTAGATTTTCTTGTTGTCTTTCTTTGAATCTTGAAGGTTTGACATCCTTTGCTTTCGCCTTTTCTTAGTGTTTCACTTGTCTCGCCTTTGTTCAAGTAACTATCTTCCTTAGGGATTGAGTGGAAATGGCATACTCATTACTTAGTCCTTTCAATGGTGGCACTTCAAATTTAGAGGGGATCAAGAAGAGGTTTTTTCCTGACTTGGAGTTGCCCCTACGAGTTCCATCCTCCGACGAGCCTTGCAATTATCTTCCAAAAGAGGAAGTTCGTTTCTCTTATGGAGCTTTGGAGATAGGTCTACGTCTTCCCATCCACCCCTCTATTGGATAGATTATGACTTATTGTGGTTTGTGCCCTCCTTGCCTCTCTCCCAGAGGATGGGCAATCATGATCAATTTTTTTCTCTTCTGGCACTTACGGGGCAATAATAGGTTCCCCACAGTAGCTGAGTTTCTTTGCTTTTTCAATCTTGAAGAGGATGAGGTCCCTTGCTTTAGTTGTTTTCGGTGGAGACACTTCAAACTACGACGTCTAGTCCTTGACCTTCCTTCCCCCCTTGAGGGGTGGGCTCAACATTTTTTTTTTGTCTCTAGGGATTATTGGAGATCCACTGAACTGCACTGTAGAGAATATGGGGTTCCTCGTTCCTAGGGGAGTTACTGTTACACAAGTAAGTGTTATGAATTCCTTCATTGGTGAGATCCCATAATGGGTTGTTCTCACTGAAATTTTGTCACACAGGTGCACCTGATCTAGACCTGGTGGAGATGATGAAGGTTGAAGAGATGGTCCATGTTGAGCCTATGTTTTTTCTTAAGCTAATGACATCAGATAACCTTTTTATGTTCAGTGNGTCATTTATTGTTTCCTTCGAAGGGAGCTCGAGGTCTGGTCCCTTGAGCTCTGGGTGCTTGCTTGACCTCCATGACTAACCTCCGTGCCTGAGTTCAAACTTAGAATTTATTCTGGGTATCATCAAAAGTATAGTGGTGCACCGAGCTCGGGTGCTCGACTAGTCCACACTTGAATGGAGTCTCTTGCTCCTTGAGTCTGTATTCACTACCGTAATAAATTACAGAGTGTTTTATATATATTTTTCTTCGTCCCCCTTTTGTTGGAGGCCATGTTCAATATTTATAGTCCGGTTCTTGTTTCTAAGGGATCTTCAGTGAGATCCTAACCCTTCATCCGCAGGATTTTCCTTGATTTTGGGAGAAGATCTTGAGTGGTTGAGAGTTTCACGCCACAATTACTGTCCTCTTACTGTTTTGTGGATGCCTCTTATTAGCCAGTTGTTCTCTTCTCATCTCTTCTGCTCTTTCATCCGAGAGGAGCTCGAGACCTGGGCCTCTGAACTCTAGGCTCCTTAATTGACCTCCTTGTCTGACCTCACTTTCCGGGCTCGTACTTAGTTAAAATTCTTTTCATGTATCATCAAAAATACATAGGAGCAAGAGACTCCATTGACAGTGAATTAGCCTTGTTATTCAACTTGCTCATAATTTTGTCTTCTTACTCGTTCCATGATTGTTAACTCTCATATTTTTTACTCATCTTACAATTCAACACTCAAACCTTCTCATACCCTATTTTTCACACCATCAAATTTATATTTTTTCAAAAATTTTCCTAATAAATACAATTTATTTTTCAAGTCAGAGGAACTGGTAAGATTTTCATTAGTGCTAAAGATCCGTAGTTTATATTGGTAATCTGATTTTTATGGGGTAATCTGATTTTTATGGTGTAATCTGATTCTCATAATCTGATCTTTATTACCCTATGATATTCATAGACCTTTGGCTTTTCGAATTTCGGTCAACAAAAAAAGAGAAAATCATATTCTATTCCTATATCATATAGAACAGAACCATCAAGTCCCAGAAATTTGCAAATGCACTAGTGAGTTCTATTTTTTGAGAAATGATTCAAACAAGTCGTATAATATACCTACTTTTCTGGTTTACCCAATAAAACTAAAAATACAAGTTTAAGGTTAATTCTACACATATCTTAATGTGTGAAAACATAAAACAAAAAAACGCATTTTAAAAATAATAAAAATAGTATTATTTGTTTAATTTATTCGCAACAAAATCATTAATTTACCAGCTGAAGGCTTTCCACCAGTTATAATATGTGTCAAGCATAATCATTCGACTACATTTTTGATAGTCCTAATCAGAGTATTAATTAATAACTAATGGTTTACTAGATAAAGGTATGTTTAGAGTTAAAAGACAAATTGTGCCTCTGATTATAAGAGATTAAATGGAAATTCAAGTCAATGGTTAATTACTTGTGTTTGTGTTATCTTTGATAAAGTATAGCTTAAGGTGCACACGAAAAAAATTACAACAATTAAAGCAATTGGACCTAGTCTTATTAGTCACCCTTATTTTTTGTAAGATTTCTTCAATTTAGAGGTCAAAAAATCAACCCTTTGTAAAGGTAAAGTTTATTTTATTGTGTGACCAAATTTAGGGTTTTTGTTCTGTCTTCTTTTGAGCTTCTCGTCACCATCTGTGGCTATTTTTTTTTTCTTCTCTATGCACTCTTGTAAATCGCAATTGTTTATTGTCAATAATGATCTATCAAAAAAGAAAATATACAATAATCAATGTTTTCGTCTGTGTATGTAAAAGAAGCTTTAATGGTAACTTTTCCAAAAGGAGATATTGATCACATTCATGCATTGAAATTTGTTTATATATAGAACCCTTACAGCCGAAATGAAAAAAAAATATTGTAGCAGAATTCTCTCTCTAAAGTCTAAACTATGGTCACGACCTCTAACTTGAGGCAATTGCTTGTTTTGAGCATAGTAGTACTTGCTCTCTTCACCAATCATGCATGTAAGTATGCCCGAAACCCTCCTAGTTTTTGCATTGTTTCTCTAATTTTTCCCATCGACTGAATAAAATTCAGCTTTTCACGCAGCTGCAGGCAGTGGCAGCGCCACCAGAGAAGGCCAAGATGTTGAAACCGTGGGTGGTGCTGCTGCGGTTTCAGAAATGGGAGTGGATGAAGGCAAGAATGTAAATCTTGCTCTTTGCTTTAAGAAGCGTTGCGTTAATAAAGATTGTTGGTGTTGTTTTACTACCAGAAAAGATCCAACACCTCTTTGCTTGTTCGATCAAGACACTTGCCAACAATTCTGCCGTGGGGTGCAGTCTTCCGGGGTCCTCCCATGATACCCCAACGGCCGTACTTAATGTCCGGACTGTTTTCTCAAAATATTTTGTAGAAATTAATCCTTCTCTTATATAATTTATATATGTAATCAAGGAATTTATATCTCTTCTACTTTTATGCTTATTGAAAATTTAAATCAATTAGTAATTTTGGGAACACCATTCTTATCTATGATTGAACCAATAAAAAGAATAGACTCTAAAAGAATTTTGACAAACTTAAAGGGTCAGCCAGTATTATTTGAGTTCATAACTCCACCACAAGTAAAGATGATAAATCAATAAAAGAAAATTGGATTCATAAAGAGAATCAATTAAACTTCTTAAAAGATGTTAAAGGTTTAAGTATCTCAGAAAAACTTAATACTCAAGAATTTAAAAATAAATTAAAAGAAATTGAGAATAAAATAACCAAAGAAGTTTGTGATACTATTCCTACTTCTTTTTGGGATAGGAAAAACTATGTGGTCACCCTTCTTTATATTAAGAAATTTAATGAAAAAGATATTTCTACTAAGGCCAAGCTGACACAAATGAATAAGGAATATTTGGAATTATGTAAAAAAGAGATTGATTCATTAATGAAAAAATTGTTATTTTACAAAAGTTATTCCCCTTGGAGTTGTGCAGCCTTTCATATAAATAATGTTGCAAAAAAGGAGCGAGGAGTTTTCTATACTAGTAATTAATTACAAACCTTTAAATAAAGTATTGCAGTGGATTAGATATCTCATTCCTAATAAAAAGGATTTGTTATCTCGATTATATAATGCTAAAATCTTTTCTAAGTTTGATTTAAAATCAGGGTATTGGTAGATCCAAATCGCTGAGGAAGACAGGTATAAAACTACTTTCACAACACCTTTTGAACATTATGAATAGAATGTTATGCCTTTTGGACTTAAAAATGCCCCATATGAATTTCAGAATATTATGAATAATATATTTTATCCTTATTATGGATTTTGTATTGTCTATTTTGACGATATATTAATTTTTTCTGATTCCATTTATCAGCATTTTAAGCATTTAAATAAATTTATTCAGGTAGTAAAAAAATAATGGTTTAGTTCTTTCCGCCAATAAAATGAAATTATTTCAAATTAAAAGTTCGATTTCTAGGACACTATATTGAACAAGGGAGTATAATCCCCATTGAGAAGTATTGAATTTGCTTGTAAATTCCCTGATGAAATTAAAGATAAAAAACAATAACAACAATTTTTGGGAAGTTTAAATTATTTAACAGAATTTTATAAAATTCTTGCCCAGGATACAACTATTTTATATTTTAGACTTAAGAAGAATTCGTCCCCTTGGACAAATCTTCACACTGAAGCAGTAAAGAAAAGCTAGCTTAAAGCTAAATATTTACCATGTTCTTCACTAGTAAATCCATCACGGTATAAAATTGTTGAAACTGATGTTTAAATAAAGGCTATGGAGGCATTCTTAAACAAAAAGATCACAATTCTAATAAAGAATTACTTGTTGGGTTTACTTCAGGAAACATGAGGATCTACTCAATTAAATTATTCTACTATTAAAAAAGAAATATTATCTATTGTTAAATGTATTAGTAAATTTTAAGACGATTTATCTAATCAAGAATTTTTATTAAGAATTGATTGTAGCTGCTTGAACAAGATGTTAAGAATATTGCTTCTAAACAGCTATTTGCTAGATGGCGGCCTATTCTTTTTGTTTTTGATTTTAAAATTGAATATGTTAGAGGAGAATCAAGTCTTCTTCCCAATTTTCTAACTAGGGAATTTTTGCAGGATTCTCATGAATAGGGGCTAGAGCATTAACCGTGTCTGAGAAGAAGATCTGAGGGCAAATCTCAGGTCAATGCTTATTATCCCTCTTTAACTAAATCATTAAAGCTTAAAGTTGTTAGTAATCAACTTCTTAAAGAAACATCGCATAAAATTGATGATAAGGATAATAATAGTTATATTGTCGTTCGATCTAAAAAATCTATTAAAGAGGCTTTAATAGCCAAACCATAGTTAAACTATACACAGTTACATACTCTGCTTGCTTATAGCAGTATAATGACTCTTGATAATAAATATATTAATTGGATGACAGATTCATATTATATTACTAATCAATTTATGACGATAGATCAAGCCTTATTATTTTATGGAAATAAAAACAGAATATTATGAAAATATTCTTATTGAGACTAACTCTTTTTAAATTTCAAAAATTTTTTAATTATAATTTCGATCATAAAGATCCTCAATATAGTAAAGCCCTCATATTAAGAGTGATATCTACTAAAGATTGGGATAATAACTTAATTATCCCCATAACTTTAAGGAACCCTCCATAAATGGGGTATAATTACTTTGATTATATTGAAGCTTGGAATAATGTTTTTTGTATAATGCTATAAATTTAAAGCATTCATGGTTCTTCCAATTTACTGAAACTTATATGAAAATTTTAAACTGGTTTTATGATTTGTGGGAAACTCATGGTGCTATTGAAAGGATATATCCTGAACCAATGAAAAAATTATTTAACTCATATAAAGACAAGAGTTCATCCTTAAAGGACAATAATATTGCGGCCAAGCCCATTATTAATTTTTCACTCGAATTCTTTGTTCCTTGGATTTAGGTGTGGACTTTAGCATGTGATTTTAATCAAAACGGACATCCCAGATTAATCAGAGAATACCATGTTCGTTTTTGGAAAACTATCCGCTTGTATCTATATGCCAAGTCATAGCGGAATGTCTTAAAGACATGGAAAAAGAAAAAGAAAAAGCTTCAACCTCTACAGCTATAATTCTCAGTGCCAGTATAAACACTAGATTTAATCTTGCTGAAGTTCTTAAAGAATAAATTAAAAAAGAGAAATCTCATTTAAATATTGAGTAGGTTAAAGTAGCAGTTATAGAAGAGATGCGTCTTCAAGTTATGTTAAATTTTGGAATGGGAAAAACCGAAAAGACGCATCTCGCTAACACTCCAACAGTTGTCATAAACGGCAAAGGGAAAGATAAAGTCGAGGAGGATGATAGGAAAAAACCCACTCCTATTGACTTTAATGATGACTTTATAGATTCTCAAGGATATACCCCTCTTAAAGGTGACGTTTCTATAAATGAAGATGTACTTAATGATGATATGAAGATAAACCTTTATGATGACAGCGGTAATATGTTGTATAATTTGCTTTATAGAAAATGATCGGATAAAGTCGATCCTGAAGGAGTGACGCACGCTATGACGTCACTATTAAAGCTGTTAATAGTAAAAGCTGTACAGTAATGATGATGTATGTAATGACGTCAATGTAAAATATTAAATTTGTAAATAGTTTAAGTTGTGTTGAAATCTAGATTTCAAGTCCGACCTCCATATAACGAGGTGCAGACCCAGTCTGTTGGGTACCCTCGAATGACCCTCGACCGCTTTATATTGAAATTGCTCAATTACATTTAATTGTTCTATAGTGGGTGGAGCATAATAGGATGAAAACCAAGTAACAAAAGGAATTACCCTTTTTTCCCTTTCTATATAAAGGTAAAACATTTCTTTATATCTTTTAAGGTCTTCTTGGTTCATAGTCTTAAAATACCAAATTCTAAATTTTTTATATTTAGGGAGATAAAATTCATCATTAATTGTCTTCTTAATTAACTATAATTATTTTTAGTGTAAATCAATAAAAACTATAATTGAAATCCGATTTCGGATGGGGTTGGATCTTGATCTTCCTCGAAGGAAGATTCATTATCTGATTTATATATTCCATGTGGGATTTGATTACGTTAAGTTTTAATTCCTTCAAGTATAGATTCTTTTCCCCTTCTCCTGTGTGGAATAGAAGAAGTGGACCTCCTAATAGGAGTACAATATGTTGATGAAGCTTCAGATTTAAAACTTGAAAAATTATCTCCTTTTGAAAATTTTATCATTACATCACCTTCAGATGATTGGGAGATGTGGGTTACTTCTTTATTTATTTCTAGTTTCTTAGAAACCACAAATTTCAACTGCCAGGTTTCTGAAAATTGGATCTCTGACCATATAATAGTTTTAGGAATTTCAATTTTATTTTTAATCGTATTTATTTCAATTAAAGTTGTTTGACCTTTATGATTACATAACTTAGCTTCAGAAAATAAAGTATTCATTACTTTATAATATACCCTGTAAGTAAAAGTCATTATCTCTACTCCATCTTTAATGTTGTAACCATAAGTTTGAATATTACAAGTTAAAATATCTAATATATTTTCATCCACTAAAGATACTAATAAATTTGGAAAATAGTTAAAATAAACTAGACCAGTGCTTAAGATGGATTGCATAACTGTCATTAAAGATCGATTAAAATCTGAACATCTAGCATCCCTTAATGCTAGCATAAAAGAGACATTTAATCCTTGGAGAGTTAATGATTTTAAAGCCACCTGAACTAGTCCAATATGTAAACATTTAAAATTTTCTTGAACTTTTAAGACTTCTCTTTCAGTTAACACTTGTAGGGTATCCCCATTTTGATCAAAAGGAACTGCCCTTTCCAACATTTTAATTGTTAAACTTGATTTAAATTTAAAAGTTCAAAAATTATATATCTTCTTAGTTGGGTACTGGGGTATATCCCAGTTCTGTAATGTATGATCAATATCTGAGAACTCAATTTCTTCCATGTTTTTAACATAATCATCTTTACGTTTATTGTGAAATTTAAATAAATTTAATGCCATGATTGTTCTCCAGAAAGTTTTTCTTGACTTATATGTTTCACTATTACCTTCATGTTGCTATAATAATTTGCCTTTTAATTCTGCTACAGGAATGATATATTGACTGTTGCTATAATAATTCCTACTACAGTGATTTTCTTCCTCTTTCCTACTCTTGCTGTCAACAATTTACAAGGAACACAAATAGCCTCACTCCTATCACTCGGACACACAGCCTAACATCCCACACGTGAGTTGGATGCAGAACCATAGCAATAAAAGTAAATCA